TCCCCCGTGACTCCGCGGAAATTCGATGGATCGAGGAGCTGATCACGCGGAGTTCGGGGGAGAGGGGCGGCGACCAAAATCCAAAGAGACCAGTTGTTCGACAAGCACGCGGAGAGAATAGTCGAATCGCGGAGATCTATTCTCCGTCTATTCTCCTCGCCGCTACGATTGAAAATAAAGACGCTTTTTCAGAAACACTTGTACCGAAGTTTTCTCTAGCCTATCTCGCGTCGAAATCCAAATCTCGACGAGTTCGAGATCGAACTATACGCGAAACATTTGGTCCTTCGAGCCGGATTCTAACCGGGTTTAAGCGGAACTCATCGTATCGTTCGTTGCGGTGCGGGTGCGCGCGTTCTCACAGGCCGCCGTCATACGCTTGTATGAGGCCTGAGACGCATCGGGCGCGAGTGAGTGAAGTTCCACTGTGCTATCAAGACGTCGCGCCCTTAGTTCCTTCTTGGCAACCTTGATTGCCAACGGAGAACAACGACTTCGTAGGACACGGCAACCCTGTGGAACTTGTGAATGTCCCCGAATACGCTCTATACGTATCCGGAGGCCGTCGTGGCGTGGACCTGGTAAGCAAACAGTTCTCTCCCGCCGACAGCGGAGGCGTGCATCCGTGCTGCACGGTGCGCTTGATACTTGGTAGGCTCGCCGGGCCATCGCGAACCGTCTTTTCACTCGCGACTCGGGTGTCTTCAAATCTCTCAAGCTTATAAGGGGAGGTTTCAGTTACCACGGCATCATGAGTTCTCTCGAGATTGCTATTAAGCAACAAGCGTTATTAGCGGGATACATTTCGAGAATGCTCGTGAACTTGCATAAACTGGGGCAGGCGCGAATCACGGCAAATGAAGTTTCCTTCCGGATTGCTCGCCTTGATGACTACTGGGCACGGTACCAGGATACGCATTTTTTGATTGCGGTAGAATTCGGAGCAGAGAAGACGTCTTATGAAGGACGATCTCTTCACGTCAACGGAGGAATCGTATTTCAGTATGCGCGCCCAACTTCGCGAGTTATTGGAAGACCTAAAGTCGACGGCTCCCGCCGCGACTCACGAAGGGGACGTCGCGAGGACAACGTCGGTCGCGCCGGTGCTTAAACAGATGCAGCTACCCAAGCTTGCGCTCACGAAATTCGACGGGAATCAGCTCGAATGGGAAGGCTTTCGGAACTTATTCCGCTCCCTAGTTCATGACGTGACGGAGGTTCCGCGCGTTCAAAAGTTACAGTACCTAATGAGATGCCTGAAACTGGAAAGGCCGCCGAGGTCGTCGCCGGTATCCCTAACAGACTCGGCTTATAAGGGAGTCTGGGAGAATTTGCTAGCCCGATACGATAATCAGCGCGTCCTCCTTCAAGAGCACATGCGGCATGTTCTCTCATGTCCGGCCGCGGTCAAGTCTTCGGCAGCGGAAATCAAGCAAGTGCTCGGTGTGCTCAATCAATCACGGCGTGCTCTCGCTGCTTTGAAACGGCCAGTCGAACACTGGGACGACTGGTTCATGCACCTCCTGGTCAGCAAACTAGATTCCATGATGCGGATGTACTGGGAGACGTCGCTATCGGATTCGCGCGAATTTTCGACTTACGCGCAGCTGCAGGCCTACCTTGAAAATCGGATTCGCGTGTTGGAGGCAGCAAAGATAGAGCCGCCATCTCCGACAAAGGCGGGAACCGGTTCCAGTGCGAAACCGGCCTCGAAGGCGACGCGGACGTCGCTGAGCGCCGCGGTGACGTCGAAGGCGAATTCCACGAAAGCCTGTTCGATGTGCCAGGGAGGGCACCCGCTACCATATTGCCAGAAGTACAAGAACCTGCCCGTGGCTCAGAGGGGCGAACAGGTCAAGAAATTAGGAGCATGTCTGAATTGCATAAGGCCCGGTCATACCGCCGATGCGTGCCCGACGAGCGGACGTTGTTTAGTTTGCGCCCGGCGGCACCATACTATTCTGCACGGCCTGAACTCTAAATCCCAAATCGCGGTCGAAATCAAGAACCTACTAAATCCAGAGGAGGAGGGGCCCGTAGCCGACACGAGCTCCTTGAGTGCTAGCTTGAACCCGGTGGCGGTTCCGGAGGGACGATCGGTCCTGCTGACCACAGCGCGGGTCCTATTGCAAGGGGAAGTGGGACAAGAACTCAAGGTCAGTGCCCTTCTCGATACGGGCTCCGAGCGTCCTTCGTGACCGAGCACGTGGCCCAGCAACTCCGACTCAAACGTCGACGGGTCAAGGTGGCGGGCCTGCAGGGTATTCGGACGGGAGACGCTGCGTGCTCCGTGCGGCTCGTTGTCGGTTCCTGTGTGAGCTCTGCGGTGCGGATCGAGACCGACGCGTTCGTGCTACGTCGACTGACTAACCTTCTTCCCGCCAGACACATCGCAGAGACGGCCTGGCCTCATCTAACAGACCTTTAGCTCGCGGACCCAGACTTCGCAGTGCCGGCAGAAGTGGACGTCATTCTTGGGGTTGACGTCTATGGCCAGGTGGTCCGCGGGGAGATTTGTCGCGGTGAATTCGGAGCACCCACGGCACAACTCATAGCCTTTGAGTGGGTCTTAACGAAGGCGCTGCCCTCCAGCGAGGCTTCGTTCGCTTAGGGTGTCCGTGAACGTCGCCCAACCGGCAGATGAACTGTCCACCATCCTGCGTCGGTTCTGGGAAATGGAGGAGTTCCCAGAGAAGCCGATCCTGACCCCGGACGGGGAGTGGACCGAAAACCACTTTCAGGAAACCCACTCCCGGGACACGACCGGAAGTATGTCGTTCGCCT